CCCCAAAACCCCAAAACCCCAAAACCCCATGAGTTAGAACAATTTGAATTATTTTGAAATTAATATAGAATTTAATTACAGGAATCAGATCAAAGTTAATGTCAAAGAAAAATAGCGTCGCTTTATTTTGCGAAACTTAGTGCTCTGATGAAGAAGATGACGAAGACTATATTGATAGATTAATCAAGAAAAAGGGTCCCGATGCTTTAAACTCGCTTCTCAAAGACTAAGACTACTTTGAGAGTGAGGCAGATAAGGAGGAAATCGTGGAATTGCGAGATTCCTTACTGCCCCCTGCTTCAGTGACTTCTTCATAAATTTCTAATTCAAAAGATCTTGTGAATCACACTAACAGTGACAAGGAGATCTTATTCAATAATAAAAATCATTAGTATTCAGAGTAATAACTCCCTCCTCATCTTCAACCATAGCTAGATGATTATAAAACTCCCAAGAATATAATGATGGGTTATCACAAAAGGAAATAGACTGGCCAGCAAGAACTCTCAGATAGTAACTACAGCGGAGTGAATATCTCCTGGAACATCCTAAATCACTAGAAAAGTAACAATTTTACGCATTCTTCCATAAATCTAATAAGCTAAAAGCATGATTCAACGAATAGCTTCCCTTAAGATCAAGATTTCGGCTAGAATATGCCTAATTAATTGCCAGACCTCGAGCATCAAGATACTATAGTCAGACAGCCATCAAGCACATCAAATATTAGTCTTAACTCAGATGCCTTCCTAATTTCTATTAACAATGCCATTCATTATTTCAACAATTCAACTATCTCCCCAAAACCCAAACCCACTCAAAAAGAAGCCCCTTTGTAATTAAAATAATAAGACTCACTTTAAAAGTAACTTATCAATGAAAATGAGGAGCTCAAGAAATAAATAGGGTAACTGCATAACAAGCTTTTGACTCTTCAAGGTCAGAACAAAACTTAGAAAAAAGAACTTTAGAATCAGATAAATATCCAGCAAAACCAAATACAGATCCTAATGTAAAACGATAAAACCAAGGAGATTGAGAAGTTGGAAGCCAAGATTGAAAGAATGAGGAATAAACTAGACATGTCTGCTAAATTACTCATACAAGAGAAATAGGAAAAAGAACACTTGAACATTGCTTACAAAAGATATATATCTAAGTTGGACAGTGAAAGAAGTGATCATGAGAAAATGAATATCATCTTATCAGGGTAATCTTTCTTGTCTAGCTCTAGCGGAAACGCTCCACATATCAGCCAAAGAAGAAGTCCCTCACCACACGTTAACCCATTATAAACTAACTCATACTTGCGTTCTTCAGGAGGAAACGATTATGCACCAGACATGAGTTCGCAGTTAATAAATGATTTGCGAAGGGAATTGGAAAAGAAAGATAAAGAGATTCATTATTACAAGAACCAGCACTCGACTCCATAGCAAATTCTCACATCCTCTGTGCACCTTAATTCAGATGAAAATGTGCTAGATGACTTTGAAGATGATATTGATCATCCAGGTGGATCTAGTAACACTCATCATGGCTACAGGTACAGAGAAGAGGAACAGAATATCTAATATCATCAGAGTAACAATATAACTGGGCCTCATCAGTTCTACCAAATAACGAATAACTCTGCATAAAATGATTTTACTCCATATAAGTTATCAGCTTCTACAGCTGCAACCAATCTGAGCAATAACTTCAAGAAGACATATTAAAATGAGCAAAAGCAGGCTGTGAGGAGAAACCAGATAAATAACAACCAGTTCTACTCTTATGAGAAGCGTTCTCAGTCTCCCCTCATGAATTCTAATCATACCTAGATCTCATCACACATTCCCACCAACTCTTCTAACTTTTCACAGATAAACTTCGCTGATCGTACTCACTCACCTCAGCAGTTGAGTTAGGCGTTCAAGACACAACAAAACCCTGGTCCAGGTGGAGCATTTAAGCACAGAAAGATAAGCACTAATCATCATAGCACTTAGTAATAGCATCATTAGTCCAAGTACAACCAGCTTGCCTCCTCGTCTTACTCTTCTAGTTCCCATTCACACCATCACAACAACCAATATATCAGTAACTCTAAACCAGATGGGAGTTTCTTGAAGCAGCATAACAACATGATGCTGGCTTAAGGCAACATCAAAAACATCAATGCACTCAAGAGCTCACATCAATCACCTCAAACCCTCGTGTAAAAATAACTCAAATCAGGAAAGCAATCTCAGCTTGTCTCTCAGTCATTGGCCTTTCAAGTGGCCTCATCTAATAAATACCCAAGCAATATAATAAGTGGAGACTAGAGTCTGCGCATAGCCAGAGGAAGCAATGACAGCTCTATAAATGGCATCGTTGGGAACGTCCGCATGGTCGACCCCTCAACTAAGAATAAATTCCCCAAGTCCAGAAGAATATAATAATAGCAATCAGCATATATGCTAACTAGCAGCAGTGGCGGAGGACCTCCTTCTAAAACTATGATTGGGTCCAGTGGCATGATTAATCATCACCCACTAATGTCAGCACCTGCATTCAATGGTGATGAACCAGGTGCCTCTGACTTTGAGGACATGTGAAAGATTGACTGTCGAGAATGATAGATGGTTGTAGTTGTTTCTTTATATTGATTGATTTATTGAAACAAAATATTGTAAATTTAAATTAATTAATCATTTGCCTCATCAATACATCATTTCAGTAATTTGGGGTTTTGGGGTTTTGGGG